GACTTAAAAGGAAGTAAAAAGGGAAAAATGGTCAGATGGGGGAAATATGCTCTCCAAATGGAACTCTTTGCTAAGAGCCACAGATGCAATACCTTGAACCTCAGGAGAGCTTTAATTAGCCTAGCTCTTCCTTGAGCGCATGCTCAGAAGCCCTGGCACCGATTGTAAATTAGGGCAAAGAAATCCAGCCGGAGCCTGGATAGGTTAAGGGGGAAGGGCAGGATCTTAAAGGGGCAACAGCCATTTAAAAGAGCAATGTCAAAAACAAAACAAAACAACAAAAAAAGAAGCAATGTCTGTTCCCACCGTTGCTGTCACAGGTCCTTCAACCTGTCACAAAAACATACTCCTCCTCCTGTGTTCCCTCTAATAGCCCCTCTACTCTCCCAGTGTGGCTACCATGACTAAACATGGTGTCATTCTTGATTTTTCCCTCTTTTGTGTCTACATAATGCAGTCACTGTTGATTTTTCCAGGTTTTATCTTAAAAGTTGACTTCACTTTTCTGTTCCTGTTGTTCAGGTTCAAGCTCTCAGCAGGTCTGCCTGGGTCACTCTGATTGTCTCTCAAACAGTGTGATACACATTTCTTACTGTTTCCAAAATCGTATCACTCCAACTGAAAACAAATACTTCAGTAATTCCTCATCACCTGCAGGAAAAAATTTCAGCTTCTTAGCACTGAGTATTTGACTTCTAATAACCTGTCAAACCTCATTTCAGACCCTTGCAGGTTGCACTTTCTGTTGTCACGATGACCAGTAGCATATGGCATATACGTTTCAGCATAGGCGAATAAACACTGAATATACAGAAGAGCTTTTGACCCACTTCGAGTATATGATTTTCAGGGAGGAAGATGAAATAGTCCGACTTCCACTTGACACTTGTAATTTAACTATATGTCATATAAAATAGTAAAACATAATATTGTTCACACACATCATGACATCAAAGAAGAAATTTCAAAAAGTTAAAAACAATAACAATTGCACTGAGATAGAATAAATCTGGCAAAGGCTTTATTCCATTCAACAACAAATGAGGGAACCAGTAAGATGAAAATGCTGGCTCTAAAAGCATTTAAGGAGATAGCTAATTACAGAAAAAGACATTAGAATAGGACTGCTAGATTATCTCCAAAACAAGCTAATGTCCTATAAGGCAATGAGACCACAGATTATATTTCCTATTGAACATAATCATTTAGATCTCTACCATAAAAAAAAATCTACAAGTTGGCCTGTAACTTGATAGTATCTGGGCTCTTACTAATGGTAAATAGCAGAGTCAAATAGAAGTTGATTATCTTGGGATAAGCTCGTTAAATAATGCTTACTTACTACACTGAAAAAAATGTACCACCTTCTTTTGCTTTTTTATTATTTCTAAGTTTTGGATTCTTTTTCTTAAAAATGGATTATTTCTTAATCAAAAAACTTCATACTAATCTTCTACAATAATGTTGTTGGTTTCATGATAGTCACTTCTTCACTCACCTAACAAAATTTTCCAGTCTTGTGTAATTTCTCTTCCAGGTTAAAAATGGGATAGACAAATTAAATAACTACAAACATTGTAGAAAGAGTAGTTCTATACATGCTAAAAATGCAGTAGCTACCAAAATAACCCCAGAACAGCAAATTAGAGAGAGAGAGCAGTATAAAAATAGTCTGGGGTCAGTTGTTTAGCCTAGCAGTCATGACTTTGGTTAGCAACAACTGCATTCCCTAGGGGAGTTCTCCTGCTCCAGACTCCAAATTTCTGCTAATACATACCCTAAGAAGCAGCAGTGATTGATCAAGTAATTGGGCTCTTGGCCTTGGCTTTGGTCCAACCCCAGCCTTTGCAGGCATTTGGGGAGTAAACAAATGGTTGAGAGCTTTCTCTGCCTCTCTCTCTCTCTCCTCTTTCTTGCTGTCTCTCAAATACATAAATAAATGAAAAAATTTTTTTAAAGTTTCAATAACTCAACAGATGGCCAGAAAGGAAAAAGAAAGAAGATAGTAACTAGAGAACACAAAATGAGATAGTAGAAATAACTTTAAATCACTCACAATAAATATAAATGATTTAACTCAGGTATTAAAAAACAGACTATCAACTAAGACGAAAAAAAGATCTTCCACAAATATGACTAAAACAAAACAAAACTGAAAGGACTGAAACAGAAAATTGATATAAGAATAAAAAGATTACAAGAAAATATATTAACAACAACAAACAGGGATGATGCAATGCTAGCACCAGACAAAATAAAAATGAAGACAAAAAGCATGAAAAGAACTATTTCTTCATGATAAAAGGAATCAATCTGTTAATACTATTATAAGCCTACAGAGATATAAAGAGACAATTTAATAAAAGCTCAAAAACAGTAAAAATTTCAGACGATGTTGACACATTTATTAAAAACTGATAATAGGAGCTAGCATTGTGGCATAGCATGTTAAGCCACCACCTGTGATGCCGACATTCCATATGGATGCTGGTTAGAGACCCAGCTGCTCCACTTCTAATACAGCTGCCTGCAAATACTCCTGGGAGAGCAGCAGAAGATGGCCTAAGCACTTGGGCCCCTGCACCAATGTGGGAGACTGGGAAGAAGTCCTGGACTCTTGGCTTTGGCCTGGCACAGCCCTGGCCATTGTGGCCATTAGGGGAGTGAACCAGTGGATGGAACATCGATTCTCTCTCTGTAAATCTATCTTTCCAATAAATAAATCTTTTTTAAAAGCTGATATATCCAATTCAATAACAGAAAACTCCAATAAAATTAACCAGTTTGATCTATTACAGAAAATCTTGTAGCCAACAAATGCAGACTATATGTTATTTTCAAATCAAAGTCAGTAATCAACAACTTAAGGGCTAGATACAGCAACAACCTTTAATTAGAAACTTTAAAAAAAGCATTAAAAGTAGCTCACTGGTTAAAGAGGAAATTACAATGTCATGAAATATTTAAAACTAAGGACAACAGAAGTGCTACATAAGGGATAGAGCAAAATAGTATTTAAAAGAAATGTACAGCTTTCCATATAATTATACTTTAAAAGGGCACGCTGAAAGCCTATCACCTAGGTAGAAGAACTACAGAGTAACAAAAGTTGATTAAAAAAAGGAAAGAATTCAAATAATCCACAAACTAGTAAACAAAGAGATAATGGAAGAAATTATAAAACAGAAACTGGTTCTTTAAAAAAAATAAGGCAGACAACCTCTAGCAGAACAATAAAAATGGTAAAAATGGTAAGAGCAGAACAATAAAAATGAGTAATACTTAAAGAACAAAAAGTAGCACATAAATACAGTTGGAATATGATTCTTAAAAACTTCAGGAAAGGGGCAGGCATTTGGTGCAGAACTGGGTAAGTCCACCTCCTATATCACACTGCACGGGTTCGAGTCCTGGTTTTGCTTCTGATTCCAGCTTCCTGCGAATGCACACCCTGGGAGGCGGCAGATGATGACTCAAGCATCTCACAGAGTTCCCACCACCTGCTGCCAGGAAGAGCCAGAGGGAGTTCCGGCTCCTGGCTTCAGCCTGGCCTAGTCCTGGCTGTTGCAGGCATTTGGGTAATGACCCAGCGGATGCAAGATCTCAGTCTTTATCTCTCTACCCTTTAAATAAAGAAACTAAATACAAATTTAAAAATTAATTTTAGAAACCCTAGAACAATGTAAACAAGTTTATTCCAGAAACAATAGAAAAACCAAACAAAATAGAAACATTTCTAAGGAAAAAAAAAAACTAGAAAAAAATAAGTAAAAGTGATTCGAGAAGAAACACAAAGCCATACAAATCCCTCTCTCTCCCTACAGTAAGCTAAATCCCGAGGCTTAAAAGGAGAGTTTCAACTCATGTTATGAAGCTACTATAATCTTACTGCCAGATTCAAACAAGAGCAGTAGGAAGAAAATTATAGGCCCCTTTCACCAATCACAGATGCAGACTTCTAGACAAAACATTAGCAAGTCAAAATCAGCAGTAAATAACAAAATCACCATCAAGCAGAACTTATTCCAATGAAGTTCAACACCCAGAACCCTACAGCCATAACATACCAGGTGATCAGATTCAAGGAGGAAAAATAACAGGATCAGGTTAAGAAATAAAAACAAAATATCTGTTAAACTTCAACATCTGATCATGTCCAGAAGTCCCGGGAAACAGCTCAAGAAAGGCATTTCGTTCAGGAAAACCCATAGAGAAAGTGTTCATTGAAAGAGCAAAAATAAAACTCTCTCGTGACAGTTTATGGTATCCAACTACCGTGGGCGTTCCTCTAACTGCTACCCTAAGAAAGAAGGTGGCCAGTAAAGGGTAGGCTACCAGTACTCTACAGCAGACACCATAACCCATGGAGAATTCTAGAAGCACAGCTAGGTCGCTGGCAAGACAAGGACACCAGCCGGCAGCCATTTCTCGTCAGTATTAACCAGGACGGGGTCTCGGGCTGGACTATGCGGCTGTTAAAAATGCACCAAGAATCAAGCTTTGGGGTCTGCGGGCACATCGGCCCCTGCTCAACCTGTGTCTTCACCTCTGAAGCCTGGCCCACCGCACCTGCCCTCCTTCAAGGCTACCTCACGGCTTTGCCGTCACGGGCCGGGCCCCTGTGCGCTGAGCCACCGGGCAGGCCTGCGGGGAAACGCGGCACAGCACGGTGCCTGCCTCGAAGGTTCTGGAACTCCCCGCGCCCGCGCGGTCCCCGGGTTTGCGCAAAAGGCCAAACAACGCGGATCCGCCCTGCGGATCCCACGCGGGGCGTCTCCACCCGAGACGCCTCGCGCGCGCCCCACTTCCTCAGGCCTCGGGCTCCGCGCGGCACGCACCGCCCGCCCCAGAGACTATGAAACAGGAAAGCCCCGGAGGCCGACTTCGTGAGCGCCCCCTTCAACTTTCGCCGCCGGGCGGCTCGCCCGCTCGCCCGCTGCCCGCCCCGGCCCCGCCGCGGTCCGCCCCTCGGCCCCGCCGCCCGCGCAGGCGCCCCGCCCCGGCCCGCCACGACCCCGCCGCCCGCGCTCGCATCTCCGCCGCCGCGGCGGGGCCGCCGCTGCCGGCGCCTGAGGACTCGCGTGCGCGCGGGGCCCGCCATGGAGGTGGAGGAGGCGTTCCAGGCTGTGGGGGAGATGGGTATTTACCAGATGTACTTGTGCTTCCTGCTGGCCGTGCTGCTGCAGGTGAGTCCGTCCGTGCCGCCCCTGCCGCCCCACTTCCTTGCTCGAGGTCGCCGGCTCCGCCACGCGTCTTCTCCCGGCCGGACCGCGGGGCCCGAGGCCGAGGCTCTGCGAGCAGCCCGGGCGTGGCGGGCGCCGCGCGATGGCCTGCGTGGGCCCCGCGGCGCCGAGGTCTACGGGCCTCTTCGGTGCGTCCGGGTTCCCCTACGCCGCCACCATGAGGGGTGGAGTAAGTGTACAGGGGGAAGTACTTCAGGCCATGGGCTGGTTAGGAGGGGACGCAGAATTGTATTATTTGCATTAGGTGTTTCCTAAAAGACGCTGCTAATATGACAGGGCTTGTCCCCTACCTGTGGCACTGTCACTGTGCAAGCTGGGACACAGCCCCGGTAACCCACAGACAAAAGGTTCATCTAGGGCGGCCTCCTCCAGCTTTGGGTGTCCACTTGGCAGCTTTTCCTAAGGTTGGACGGGGCTCCCTGTTCCAGGAGCTTTCGGTGCCCCATCTGGTTAAGTGGTTCAGCCCCGAGGCCGGCCCGCTGAGGCGTTTATAAGCTGGAGAATGCCGTCTACAGTGTGTGGGTACAACACTGGGTACCCTTCCTCATTGTTGAGAATTCTCAGACCCTACTTGCACACCCCAACCTAAAAACGTAGGTTCCATATGCCAAAGGTGGCCACAGATTAGCTTTGCCAGGCCGTTTGCTCCTCCTTGGCCAACTTAAATGGCCTGTTGACATCCGTTGCTTCTCTCAATATTCTAAAGGCATTTCATTTACAAACCCTATGTTAATGTCAATGGTGAGCCTACTCATTCCTTCAGTCAGTGCATACAGTGAGGACCTAATATGTGCTGAGCACAAGAAGGCCATGGCGGGAAAGCCCCTGCCCTCTGGAAGCTTGCATTCTAGCGGGTGGGGCAGGCAGGCAGTTAACCAGGTAGTTACAGTCCAATGGGTGCTAACGGTTATTCTGCAGGAAGTAAGGAATGGGCCTGGGTAAACTCCCAGGCAGCTGGTTGCTAAAACATTGTATAAGGCAATGGCTCAACAGGAAGATGGGGCAGGGTTGTGTGGGGAGGAGGAGTTGACTTAGTGATTCTCTTTGTACGTAAAATGTTGAAGAGAGCCATTGATTTCATCACCAGCTAGAAAAAGATCATTCAAATGATAGATTGATCTTGGAATCAGGTGCAGTTCTCAGCTCAGAAACATGCTGCATGAGGCTGCAATCCATGCATAGTTTTTTCATGAGATGCCACTTCTGTGAAATTTTTGAAATACTCTTAGTGTCCTGAAGTTTAAGCTTGCTGCTTTAGCTTTAAATGCACTTTTCCAAGGGAGAAAAAAAATGTTCTTGCTAAATGACAAAAGAGTGCTTAATGCACAGAAAGTAAAATTGCGACCATGAAGCCTACTCTTTCTTGTTCTGTTCTAATCAAGAGTTAAAGAACACACTTCCTCCCTGAGCAGCTCCAGTTTCCCCCCTCCCTCTCTGCACCCTCTGTGTCCTGTGTCATCGTGACCCCTGTCCCCCCACTTGGAATAAGTTTGTTTCCAATGGCATGTTCTGGACTCAGGACCTTCAAGTTTACCTCACCTGCTCCTGTTTATGGTTGACCTCACTGGTTAGCATTTGCTAATGAGTTCTAAGCCCACAGCTGTAATTGTTCAATAAACCTTAATGGACATATGGTCAGTATGTGGCATACAAAGACCAGGTTGTAGTGTGAGAATGAGTGACTCACTGTTTATCTTGTAGATGGGGCCTGGGAGGTGCCCGTAGCTGTGTGTTTGCCAGTGGAGGAGCCGTTCCAGTCCAAGCAGAAGAGAATCCCTGTCAGCTGCCACATGTTTGTCACCCAGCCCACTGGGCTGCATGGTCTCCATAGGGCCCCAAGCTGTCCTGGATGTGAGAGTGGAGTTCCTGAGACACCTCTCTGCCAAGTCTGTGGTTGGAGGTGTTTTGGGCTTTGGGGGGCCTGCCTGTGGTGTAGGAGGACTAGGAGTTGCCATTACATGCTTGCGTCTCAGACGATTCTTGGGGATGAGGCGTGGCTTCCCACAACAGCAGGAAAAGCAAGAAGCCCTTTTCACTGACTTGGCTTCCATGGAAGGAGGTTGCTGTTTTCTTGCCATTGTTCTGGAAAAGTGTGAACCAAGTGCACATCAGCACTGCCAGAGAGGGGGCCTCCCCTCTGCAGGGGTCATTGCTGCATCTGTGGTTTGGTGACGACTCAGCCCCGCTGAGCAGCACAAAGCTATAGAGGCACAGATATGGAAACCGCACAGATGCTTTTATGTGATCCTCTTCTGGGACTGTTTTATATATATATATATATATTTAAGATTTATGTATTTATTTGAAAGTCAGAGTCACACAGTGAGAGAAGGAGAGACAGAGGGATCTTCCATCCGCTGGTTCACTCCCCAGTCAGCTGCAATGACCAGAGCTGCATCGATCCAAAGCCAGGAGCCAGGAGGTTCTTCCAGGTCTCCCAGCTGGGTGCAGGGACTCAAGGACCTGGGCCATCCTCTACTGCTTTTCCAGGCCATAGCAGAGAGCTGGATCCAAAGTGGAGCAGCTGGTACTTGAACCGGCGCCCGTATGGGATGCCAGCACTGCAAGTGGTGGCTTTACCCGCTATGCCCTGTCATTATATTTTAAATGCCTTTTAACTCCCCTTATGTCAGACACATCCAAGTTCAAACTAAAAGGACAAAACCACACAGCGAAGCCAACTGTGGAAGTCCTTAGGTTAACTGTTTCTTGAATGATTGATGCCATCATGTAGATGATCAAAAGTATCCTTGCTATCCAATTTCCATCGACCGAGAGACTTCCTTTCACACTCCTTGCCAACACAATTGGCAACTTTCATAGCGGTCTGCTTCCGGATATATAAAGAATAGAGGCAGATTTCTCTTTAGCATTGTAAGAAGAAAATGCCTTGATAATAGTGGCCAGTGGCTTTCAACTACATCAACAAAAAGTTAAAGAAAAAATATGTAAAAATGTTATAAATAAGCAATAAGATTGATAATTTGACAGCTACAGAAATTCTTACCTTCAAAATGGACTTGCCCTTTCCTAGGGTCAGAGCTGTTTGTGGTATTTAAATGTGAATAACTATCTAGGTTGTTACTGTTTCTTTTCTGATGGTGATTCAGAGTTGAAGCCATCCTCAGCACTGTTGCAAGTGTGTGTGTGCACACTTGTTTGCCTGGCTGTCGGTGGAGGAAGGTGGGAATACAGTCCTTTGGTTTTCATTCTTGAAATGAAAATGGGCCTTTCTTTGTTCTAAGCCAGAGACCCCAGCTCTCTTATTTTCCTCAGATCATGAATCATATATTGCAGTTTAATTTGCACAGAAAGTAAGACATGGAGTGATAGGGACATGTAACCTGTAAGAGGCCTTGGTTTCACCAGTGGAATTGTGATGCTGCGTCATGAATCTCGTCTGGTTTAGGAATGCATTATTTTCGGGAAAACTTTCCAAAAACTTCAACCTTATTTTTCAGATCCTGGGACTATCAGTGTGCTGGTATTATCCATGCAGTATCTTTTCGCAGCATTTTAGAAAGTGCACTGATTGGGCGGGTATTTTGCAGAGGAAGAAGCTGTATTTTCAATAAGTGAAAAGATGTTTAACTTCAGGAGTCACCTGGGATGGGCATATTAAAATGACTAGGAAATACCATTTCACACTTAACGTGTTAGCAGTCTAATAGTACAGGTGGGATGAAAATGAAGAGAGGCTTCTGGTAAAATAACAACTTAGTGTTGGATACCTAGGTCATTCACCCTGCCTGAACATGTGCTCACGGGGGCATTTATTGTAGCACTGTATATGATAACAAGAATTAGAAGCCACCTAAATGATTTTCACGAGGGAACTATGTAAAATGTGGTATAAATTTCGCAAATACAACAGCTAAAATGAATGAACTTGATTAATATACAGCTATATGGATGAAAATTTAAGCAGGGTGATATATACAGTATCATATGTCTGATTGAAATTTCAAAAGTGCCCAAAATAACACATTTGGTTTAAGAATAGATGTAAGCAACGCAGAAGTATAAGCACTTGCCGTGGAGGGGTCTACACCTGGCTCATGAACTTGGTTGCCCCTTTGGATGGGGTAGGCCTGAGGAGTGGACAAAGGAGATTGCACCTGCATCTGTGAAGCAAATATAGAAGATGCCACCATTTGTTAATTTTCGTAGATGGGATCTTGAATCTCGTTTATTTGGCTTTCCCTTGTTAATTTTTTTAACTAAAAATGTGCAAAGAATAGACGGATGGGGACCAGCCTGTGGCTCAGAGGCTTAAGCCTCTAGGCTGATGCTGGTATCCCATATGGGCATCCGTTTGAGTCCCAGCTGCTCCACTTCTGATCCAGTTCCCTGCTAATGTGCCTGGGAAAGCAGTGGAAGGTGGCCTAAGTCCTTGGTCCCCTACACCCACGTGGCAGACCTGGATGGAGTCCCTAGCGCCTGGCTTTGGCCTGTCCCAACCGCAGCTGTTATGGCCATTTGGAGAATGACCCAGCAGATGGAAGATATTTCTGTCTCTCTCTGTATGTCACTCTGCCTTTCAAGTACATTATAATTTTTTTTTAAGGATAGGCACATCTAAGGGAGAATGGTAGTTTGCTCTGCAAGAATACTAGTTCTTCATTTTTTTACTCAGTGTTGCTCTAATCAAGTGGTCTGTGGTTGTGGTCATTCAGCACAGATGAATGAAGCAGAGTTGTATCAGCTGTGGGAAGCTGGCACAATTGCCATTCCCACCTGCTTGTATTTGTCACCCTCTCTCTCTCCATGGGACATTCATACCCTAAGCAAGTGATGAAATTCACACCAAACACGAGTGAGTCACAAGACCAGCGCTCGTGCCTGGGCTGCTCTCACCACCACCAGGGCTCCAGCCTGGGTGAGAATGGAGGGCATTAGCAAGATCTTCTCTGGTAGGACTCTAAAACACGCACCAGTCTTCCAGGGAGGGATCTCTGCTCTTTTGAGCAGGGTTTTTTTGTTTGTGTGTGTGTGTATTTTTTTTTTAAGATTTATTTATTTGTTCAAAAGGCAGAGTTACAG